TTAAATTTTATGCAATAATCGTCGATATATAATGGCTATAAAGTTAAATAAAAAGGGAATAGAGAATATTGAAATATAGAAAATTCCTTTAGATCCCCCTTAAGGCGTGCTTATTCAAGCTTATACAATTTGAAAAGAGGCATTGCTTTTCAGGATGCTCGTTCAAAGAATATGTTCATCTCGTATGTACAACCTTCTGAAATTTATATGAATGTACCTCTCTGAGAGGCCTCTCCTCCTTGATACAGATATTCGATGAAAAGCTTGGAAATTTTTCGACTTATCAAGGCCGATTCCTCTAGACCATCGAACATTCTTCTCGTCAGAGATTTTGTTCCACGTCTAAGATACTTGGAAATCTGTGTCAAATATCTCGTCACAGCCCTTTATCGTATCGAGTAGCATCATTCAACGATACTTTAATAATAAAATTTAGAAAAATGTTCTTTACAAATTTCAAAAAAGCATCAACTCTGTTCTCTCAAAATTTCCAAAATTTCGAGAATCCAGAATCGACACGAGAGGAAACAAAAATATTAATTCTTTTCGATTATTCAACTTCCGCCTCCAACGTTTTACGTATAATTTTATCGCGGAAGCTGGCCTGCTCGAGGGGAGTAAGAAAAACGGAAATAAGAGGCGCGAGAACAAGCGGGGAGAGAGAGGAAGGGTGATGATGAAACGGGAGACAAGATCGTCGAGGCGATACGATGCGAACGACTTCGCGGCTTGTGACAAGAAGCCGACTTTTAACTCGTCAACGCCGTGATGAACGGAAGTGGATGAAGGAGAGAAAGGGAAGGGGATGGGGAAAAAAAATCGGAAGAATAGGGGGAGGGGGTTGGAGCCGAGAAACTGAGATTACGACAAGGTGGTAAATAACACGTCACTCCGTTTACTTTGCGTTCTTGTGACGATGCTTCCGAGTTTCCACGGACGTTGTGACTTCTCTTCCTCCAGTTCTCGAAGTAAAGTAGAGGAAACGTGAACGATTGGCGCGAAAAGGGTTCGATCGAGTGTTAATTAAGAAACGCGAGATAAGGTTAGGAGATTTTTGATGCGAAACGAAGTTAAAGAATTGTAGATTGAAAGAAAATTAATATTTTTCTAAGATTGTTGTGAAACGTTGCTTTCTTCAAATATAATTCTAAATATAATGCACGATGTTTCTTTAAGACGATATATTCAATTAAAGTAATTTTCATATGATTGTTTTAATGATTAAATAATTTTCGAATTCGCGATTCAATAATTCTAATAATCAAAATAAATTATTAGAAAAATTTCTTTTGTGCAGTATATATATATATTATAAAATCAACAAATCAAAAATCAAAAGCGAAAGAAAATTCAAAAAATTCTAAAAAACAACATGCACCAATCGTAGAAGAATAATCTTTTATTCGCATTAACCGCATAAAAAATAATAAAAACTTAAACTATGCCTTTTTTTTACGAACCACTAATAATAATTAAATTATAATGTTCACTATTCACGACAAAATTTCAAAGGATCTCTTACCACAGTGGAATCAAAATCCTTTCGTTCCTCCGCTCGAGATGCGCGAGATAAAAGAAGCACGAAGAAATAAATTACTTCCTTCGATGATCGAAATGTCGTCCACAACTCCCCTCGCCACCGCAACGTAAATAAATTAAAACGTCTCGTCTGCTTTTCACGCGCAATTTTCCAGCGTCTCGCGGAAAAGCGGGATTCCCCCGACGTGAAAATAGGTGTCGGACCTGTGCCGATATCGACGAAGATTTCCTCCCTTTCTCTTCACCGATGATGTCAACGGTGATCTATGATCGATTCCCAATACGGACGGGCCTGTGAACAATGAATTCACCTTAAGAGCATCAAATGGGCGCAGCACGATGAAAGCCACTTCATGGTAATTACATCGGCGATCCCCCCGATCATCTGGAAGGCGTTAAAGCGCGAATGAAATCACACGGGAGAGGGGGAAAAGGAGAGGAGATGGAGGGAGGGGGGAGGGAGAGAGGGAGAAAGAGAGAGAGAGAGAAAAAAACGATAGGGTTTACAGCTCAACGCCACCCCGTAGCGACGGTGGATGATGGATCGGTTCGTGCTGGAATAACGGCGTTCCGTCCTAACAGCCATTTCGTAATTACACCGGCAGTGATTCGCTTGCCTTCATCTTAGCTATCGGGGGCCCATCAATAATCTTTCCACGTTCTTTCCATCTTCCCTCGTTTCGACGTAAAATGTGTCGCTTTTTATATATATATATATAAAACGAAGGAAAGAGAGCACCGTCGAACCGTCCACAAGCGCGTCTTCTTATCAACTGATTTCGCAAACGGAAATCTGCGAGTATAAATATTATAACGTACGGATTAAATTTCGTGTGTGTACGTATATAATACGCTACGGTATATAATACGGTACGGTAAAAGTATAAACAAAACGAATCGACTCGTGTTTATAATTTAAGCGAATATTATTATACGTTTTTGTTTTAACCTCGAACGCACAATACGTATAATATTTTGCCAAATATTTCGTACGAATATTTCTCGTAATATAGAAATATTCACACACTTTTTAATTAATTAATTACTCCACTTTATATATTTTTTTTACAATTTTTTTACATAGATTGTATTTTTACAATATGTATCTAACAATAATTTTCATTCCATTTCTCGAAACGTAGCGTAAGAAGAAATATAGTCTCTTTCGAAGAGAAAGAGCGTGTTTGTTCGCATGTGCGTCTTCCGTTAAATGATTTCACAGGCGAAAATCTGCAATTAATCAGATACAATTAAATACTACAATAACGTAGAAATATATTTTACTTTACACGCTCTCCAAACGCATTTCTCGTTTTTCCAAAAGGATCCTGATCTTTTTTTAATCTTCTTGCTTGACTCTCTGCCAATACCCGTGGTTCCTTACACATGTACGACATATAATCTTGCCTAAACTATCATCGCATTCGAAATTCTCACGTATTCACAGAATCACTTTTCACATTCGTTCTTGCAATAACACACACACACACACACACACACACACACATATATATATATATATATATACGAAGCAATAATCTTTTCTTTCCATCTCTTTCCATCTCTCTCGTTCCTTCCTAAGAGTTTCACGAAAGCAAGAAAGAAAAATAAGCAGAGCCATCCACGAAAAAGCAAGTGTGCACCTTCTCTTTCGATGATTTTTGAGCGAGAAACCCGCGTGTACGCAAGTTTTTCGCGCGACACGACCATCTATCTGGGATCTTAGGGAAATGCGAGGCTTTTAGGGGATATTACATACCTCTTCGAAGGATATTAAATTCTGAGATTTGCCTCGACCTCTCCTATCCGTCGCCCCCTATCAACCCTAGCGTGTTCGGAGCCGCGATTACCCAGTCCAGCTTCCTCCTCCCTGTGTCTGGCCCTTGTTGGTGGTGTGGTATCGCGGGAATTGCTGATTGCACCGACGCTTTTGGGAGAAGTTACCGCGGACAGAGCATAATGCCGTAGACGCTTTATGAGACCTGGCCAACCAACCTCCTCTCGCCCCCCCCCTCTCCTTCTTTCGTGCTGGTGAGCTTGTTTTTCGCGTTGCGTCAGTCTCATTTGTAATTAAAGCGACGGTATTAAAATGGTTTCGTCCTCCGCTAAGGTGGCTGCATCGACTCCCCCATTCCCTCCCCTCTCCCAGATTTCGTTGCGAAATGAGAAGAGCTTTGGATTTCATAGGAAGTCTTCTAGGCTAGGTTTCTCGTGAATAAAAGTTGCTCCGTATTTTCCGTGATTTTCCTTGTTTTTGAGTGCTTTGTATTTGGAAATAAATTATATATATATCGAGCGAAAAGATTGGCGGTTTTTATCTTTATCGTGGGGAAATTTGGTAGGAGAAGGTAAGATAATTTTTTTGTTCTTTGGGAGAGGGTTGTAATATTTGTCGATTTATAAATTAACCGATCAAGGTTTGTATTATACCGGGGAAAGGTGGAATAAAATGATAGAAAATTCTATTGCGTGGATCGAGTGCGTGCTAGAATCGAAATAATCATTTCGTGGGTTGAATAATGGAGAATTATCCGGGCGGAATTAATTCATGGCCGTACGGGGACCGTTCCCGATTATTGCACCTCCCTCGGGTCCCCCGGAGCCGATTAGGGTTATATTTCCTCTCATATTTAGATCGTAATGATCCGACGAATCTGAAATTTTATCGTTCCCGTCGTTTCTGCAAAGTGTTACGACGTCGTTGATACCGGGTTTAAATACCCTCGATCCTCGATCGGTGATCGGAATTTGCATTCTTTATATGAAATATAATAACAGTAATTTCGCCGAATTTGGATCAGCTTCACCTTTTTTTTTTTTTTATTTCTTTTTCACTAAATATTTCGATTCAACAATTTCAAAAAAACTGAATATTGAGTTTAAAAAGAAATATCAATTCCAAATATTATTATTAATTAGAATAAAAAAAGAAAAGCTTCCTTATTACTTTCATTCTTCCCATTAAATCCGATATTCAACAAAGCGTCTTCTTCTTCCTGAAAAAATTAACAAAATATAGAAATAGACTTATTCAATATACTTACAAATACGCGAATCGTTATCGTAATACGGAACACGCTATTCTCGGTTTCATATCATGCGGTATCTCAATGACTAGAGGAGGTAACTAGATAGAGGACACGCATAACAGAGGAAACTAATTACTGGGTTACAAAGGATACGCGGTGTCATTCTGATTGTCACCCTATCCGGAAACGTCAGACTCCCCTCCCCCCTCATTCGAGTCCTTCTCCTATATATCTCTTCAACTATATATCTCTCTCGTCGTGCACGCAGTCCGCTCTCGTGCATTTATTATCACGGCTTCTGTTCGCGTCCGTATGATTAATTGCCCACCGTTTCTTCAGGATGACTTTGCTACGAGAGAGGCACGACATCGTTGGATATCGATTTAAGTCGTTGACGTACCCTCGCCACCTTGTGTTGTACCGCGGCTTACGACGCGGAGGAGAGGAACGAAAATGGTTTTTTTTTCTCTTCCTCCTCCTCCTCCTTCCTCCACCTCTTCCTTTTCAACGACGAAAATTCGCTGCGGATGACGAGGACATTAGTTATGTTTTTCGATAACGGCTCGTCGCTGGAATAAATTACAGTTTGCGAGAGGTGGATCGGGTCTTAAACTACGTTTCGCGTAAGAGTGACGTAAAAGAAGTCGGTAAGTGCGAGTGATGG